TAATTCAAATTTATCTTTAAAGTGAATTGTTCAATTCATTTTAGGTGCTTTGAGTTAATGATATGGTTAGTGTTTCAATCCACCAAGATGAGCGAATGAACTTAAAGATGGAATGATCTTGAAATTGTAGTTCAATTTTGTATCCCCTCTCCTCTTCTCTTTTTTCTTTTGATCGATGAAAATCTTCGTTATTGTTTGAACTTATTTCAAGTTCTTGATGAAGATGAGATCATTACCTATTTTCTTTTCGTGCGGTATTGCTTTTGGAGAGTGATTTACATATCACTTCTCTAGCATGCATTAGCACTAACATTGCTATTGACCGGCCTCAGATAGTCGTGGTTTCTACACAAACCCGATTACGATTGCTTAACATAGCGCTAAATTGTCTTGTAATCGAAAAATGATCATTCGTAGCTCAAACTTATGTTTGAATATCCAAGTACGGTTGATTATTTGTCTTAGGTACATTACCTATGAAACTTATTGTTAAGAGGCTTTGATTTTATCAATCCTCTAATGAGTTTTCATTAACTTTGGCCTAAGTGCATGAGTTAACCATCGTTGATCAATTGTTCTAACAACTAATCACTAACTCACTAACAATATCATTGTTCTAATTTTGTTTATGCTTCTTTCTTACTCCCTATCTCTCTTTTATTTTTATGCTCCATTATTATCATCTCATATCATATTATTTTTTATACTTCCGCCATTTTTCCTTTGTCCACTTGGACCTTTTGTTTATGTTTATGTTCTTTTTCTTTTGTCCAGTTGAACCAAAAACATTAATAAAGTCTAAAACCCCTAAAAAACTTGTTCTCTTAATGGTGGACTATGGTTACTATCCTTTGCATTGGACTTAGACCTTGGACCTCTTGGATTATTCTTGGACCCTTAGACTTGGAATTAGGCCTCTTTCCTTAAGCTTGGAATATTATGGATCTTTGTCTTTATTTGGCTTGCTTATTTGCTTATACTTCAAGATGGATGTAATTCTTATTTCTCTTGCTATGAAGTGTGCTATAATTTGGTTAGGTCCTTCTTGTCTCTACCTTTTATTTTGCTTTCTAGGATATTCACTTCATCTCCTCCCTTTCTTAAAATTTCAAAATCTTCTCCCTTTTTCAAAAAGCTTATTGTTTTCAAACTTAAAACCGCTATCATAAAAAACCTTGACTTTAGTCAAGTGATTTTCAAACTTTGTTTTGTTTAAAAAATGTCAATCATATTTTGATCAATTTCAAAAATACTTAAAAAATACAAAAACTCATTCAAATTTTTGTGTGTCTTTGTGCACTTTTTCATTTTAAAAACTTTTCATAAAGTTTAGACATGAGTCATTTTCATAGTTGAGATATAATTCTCCTATTTCCCATAGTATTTAAGATATTGACATTTTCCACTTAGATGTTGAGAGATAGACTTGTTGATTTTAATCCAAGCAAAAATTCTTCATCTTTAGGTAATGCAAATGTTCTCTTATACTTGTGGGTGACTAGTCGTAGTTTTCTCCTTAAAATGACGATTTGTCTTTACATTTAAAAATCAATCGAAACAAACCAATTTTTTGTTATTTGTACCACGAACTACGAGGTTTTGATCCTATATTGCACTTTGTGGGTATGTAGGCATGAGGCGATAAGTCTCTCCAAACACAAAAATATTAAAAAATATTTATCTTCTCATCTCCCCAATCTCATTTCAAACAAACTATTTTCAAACCAAAAAGTGTAGATATTTCAAAGGGTTCCTATAGAGTACTATAGATGCTTTGGGTGCTAGCACCTTCCCATTGCGTAACCAACCCCCTTACCCATTCTATGTTTGTTATTGTTTTAGAACCCTTAGGTTTTGTTTGCTCTTTTTCCTTTCTTTTTTGGATAAAATAAAAGTGTGGTGTCGAACTTGCATTTTTGAGTTAAGTTAATCAATAACTTACACTGACAAATTTCCTCGCTACTTGCCGATTTTTAATTTATCCTAGGTAAGGGGAAAAGAAAGAATAACCCATAAATAAAATGCAGAGAAAGAAGCAAGGTCTAAAGCTAACCAAAGAGAGATCAGAGGTACGGAGGTTGGTTATACTAAGGGAATGTACTAGCACCCTAAGCATCTGTAGTACTCTACATGAACCTCTTGAAATATTTGTGTTTTGGCTAAAAGTGTTTGCTAAAGGTAAGGATGGGAAAAGAATAGGAGAAAAGGTGGAAAAAGAAAAAGGTAGAAAAAGAAAAAGGTAGAAAAAATAAAAAGGTAGCTCGCTAGGATCTCACAATCCTATGCCTACGTATCCTTAATATAAAGTCAGAGCAATCGTAGTTCGAAATTACATACGATATTAAAAGGGTGTAAAAGAAAAGTGTGAAAAAACACAAGGTTGCTCGCCAAAGATTGGGGCCTTGTTCCTATGTATTCTCAAAAGGAACTTGAGAAATCAGAGTGTTCGTAGTTCGTGGAACTATTGGTTTCTAGGTTCTAAGAACCAAGAACAACAGAGACAAGTAAATAATAAACGAGGGACATGCACAATGACAATACGTCAACATGTAATCCCTCCTCTTAGATTAGGTCAACAAGGCATAGAAATAAAGCAACAAATACATGGAAGAACATCATGTACATGGCAAGCAATAAACAAGGACACAAGCACAATACACGGAAAAACATCATGCATGGTCAAACAGACAAAATAACACAGAATACGCATGAAAAAACATCGTGGAGAAAAATAGATAGAAAGTACATGGCAAAGCATCGTGTAAAATAAACAGAAAGTGCACGACAAAACATCGTGAGATAAGAACAATCACGAAAAAGCATCGTGAGGAATCCACAAACAAAGAAAACATACACGGAAAATCAATAACACAATGATTTTTAGTGTATGTTTTCTTTGTCTGTGGATTTTCTCATGATGCTTTTTCGTGATGGATCTTGTCTGTCGTGCACTTTCTGTTTATTTTACACGATGTTTTTCCGTGTACTTTCTATATGTTTTTCTCCATGATGTTTTTTCATGCGTATTTTGTGTTATTTTGTCTGTCTAACCATGCATGATGCTTTTCGGTGTACTGTGTATGTGTCCTCGTTTATTGCTTGCAATGTACATGATGTTCTTCCATGTATCTGTTGATTTATTTCTATGTCTTGTTGACCTAATACAAGGGGAGGGATTGCATGTTGACTTATTGTCATTATGCATGTCCCTCGTTTGTTCTTTACTTGTCTCTGTTGTTCTTGGTTCTTAGAACCTGGCAACCCGTAGTTCCACAAACTACGGACGCTTAGATTTCTCAAGTTTCTTTTGAGAATACGTAGGCACAAGACCCCGATCCTTGACGAGCAACCTTTTCTTTTTTCACACTTTTCTTTTACACCATTTTTATATCGTAGTTTCGAACTACGATTGCTCTGACTTTCTATTAAGGATACGTAGGCATAGGATTTCGAGATCCTAGCGAGCTACCTTTTTCTTTTTCCACTTTTTCTCTTTTCTTTACCCATCTTTACCTTTAGCAAACAATTTTAGACAAAACACAAATATTTCAAGAGGTTCTTGTAGAGTACTACATATGCTTAGGGTGCTAGTGTATTCCCTTAGTATAACCAACCCCCGTACCTTTGATATCTCTTTGCTTAACTTTAGGCATTGCTTTGCATTTTATTTATGGTTTATTCTTTCTTTTCCCCTTCCCTCGGATAAATTAAAGATCGGTGGTGATATTTTATGATTTGTGATTCATGTTAATATAATAGCTTGATATCTGATTCTCACTGCGACATCTGTAAAAGGATCTTCATAACTGTGGAAAAAAAATTAATATCACATTTTATTTTTTGAAAAAAGTATGTATCAGATAACTTATAGATAAGTTATTTGATGACCAAACAGATGATTACCATAATACTTATAAACAAATTATATATTGAAGATTATAATAGAGCATTGACATCCTTTATTTTTATAATTTGAACATCCTTAGTACTCCCTCTGTTGTACAATATGTGACTCATTTAGAATAAAAGAGTGTCTCAAAACGAATGATCAATTTCAATTTTCAATGCATCTTTTCTTATTTTACTCTCTAATTAATATTACTTTCACCATTCTCAATAAATGATAAAGGTACATTATTAAAAATATCATTCTCTCTTTTTCATTTATTCATTTTTTTAATCTGTGTGGAATAGTCAATCGGATCACTCATTGTGCGACGAAGAGAGCAATGTTTTTGTTAAAACACCATTACCATGTAATTAATGCACTTATATTTATCATGAATATAAATTTGAAAAGGTTTAAATAATCTTTTTGTCTCTGTACATTGACATGTTTTTGTTTTTAGTCTCTAAGACGTTTTTTCTTAAAAATAATTCTTGAATGTTAAAATGATTTTGGTTTTAGTCTCAATAGTGAAAATTCGTAGGAAAATTTGAAGGAAAAACCGCATGAAACTTGTAGATTTTAAATTTGCAAAAATTTTTGAAGGAAATTCCGCAAGAAATCTGTAGATTTTCATGCAAATTTTATTTTTAAGGATTAAAATAAAAAATATTTAATATTCAGAAATTATTTTTAAAAAAACGATTTAGAAACTAAAAACAAAAACACACCGATAGATATAAAGAGACTATTTAAACCATTTGAAAATACATTAAGATGATATAAATAGTATTGTGTTAGAAAAATGGTTTTGACTAATTTCACAATATTTTTTCTTGGACTAAAAAACATGTTCCTTGAATATATACACCACCGTTACATTTTTCATCAAAATTTTACACCTAGCACAAAAAACAAGCACCTTAACTATAACTTTTGTTCTTTAGCTTCAAACAAGAAAAAGGCAAACACGACCGAAAGAACCAACATTTTCTGTCATAGGAGCTTCTCCTAACCTCTTCTCCATTGCTACCTTGTCTTTTCCTCTATATGAAACCAAACCAAAAACATATCCAAAAGCTAAAAACTAGAGAATAATACAAACAGACTAGTAATGGATTGTTGCGAGGAAGAAAAGATCATGAAAATACCAAAGTTACCCCTATTGAACACTCTGCCAATCATTCATTCACCAGAGAGACCAGGAACAAAAACTCCTCCATTTCATATCACAGTATCAGTTCCATTTGGTTGGGAAGAAGAGCCAGGAAAACCAAAACCTTGTACCGATCTTGTCACATTCTCAAATCCAACAGCTTTCAAGTGTTTGGAACTTCCTCCTAGGTTGTTGGATGATACAAAAGTTCCATCACCTACAATAGTCTTTGATGGACCCTACAAAAAAGATTGTAGTGGAACTGAAAAACTTGGGACTTTGATCCTTAAGAAAGAAACGGGAGTAAAGAAAAAAGGGTTGTTTGGTAATTGGAGGAAAAGGGTTATTAACGTTAAAAAACATGTCTTTTTGTCATCTTCTGTTGATAAGGATAATGATAATGTTATTGTTGGTGACAAGAATTTGAAGATGAGGAAGAAGATAAAACATTATAGTAGCTTTGATAATCCATTTCATGCCAAGTCTTCTATTTGGGTAAAAAAATTTAAACTTTTTTCTTAGTTAATTTTTTTTTACACATTTATATATGAAGGTTATTATGCTTAGATTTGGGTTATTCAATCAATAAATGTTGATCAAACTTTGCAGCATGTTCTATCTTGTTCATGTGGGTTAGAAACATTGAATAGCAATCTTAATGGACAGTTTTGTTCATGTGTAAAGAAATGGTCCCATGATGTTTGGCACTTGTTTTGATTTTGCAGACAAAGATGTGTGAAAGATGGAAGCGTGTGGTTGAATGGAAGAGTGATAAAGTGAACAAGAATCAGTGTTGGTGGTTTTAGGGGCTATAGGATTTTACCTAGGGCTAGGGTAACATGGTCATGTCAAAATCAATTATCTGCATGATGACAACTACATATGTACTGTGTTTTTCCTAATTTGTCTTTATATCTTCATGAAATCAAATATTACAGGTCATTCAGGGTCTACTTCTTGCTATGTCACTTTGAATTTGTAACACTTTGCATTGAAACCTTGTTTGATTATTATTTTGAAGTTTTTTCAATCTTCTATTTTAAACTATATTTATTTTGACAGTAAAGTTATATGATTAACACATTTTAGATACATGGTTTATTGTGGTTAGTATCAGATGTTTAATGAATATAAAAATGAGACATGAAGATAATCTATAATATAAGAAGTTTTGTTGTTTTGAAAATTTTTATTTTGTCTTAAATACTTATGTGTCACTATACTATGTAATTATTTGTAATTATTGTGGTTAATATTTGTTTATATAATTAAATAATTGTATAAATATTTTTAGAAATAATAGAAAAACTAAATTAATATTTATATAAAAATATACGGTTGATCCAAATATTTGCATAGAATAAATATATTTATGCTACATATATAAATAAAAATATAGTTTTTTAAGTAATAATTTTTTTAATAAATAATTTTGTCTTTCTATTTTTTGCATTCTTGTTACATTTTTAAAACAAATGTGTGTTTGGCACTCGTACCCGTACGAATGCACGAGTATTCCACTAATTAATTATAATTTTAAAGTGATTTTGAGTTTTTCACATGATTTTTTCATAAACTTTTTTCTAACTAAACAAAAAATATTACACAGGATAATCTCCAAATCAAATAGACATTTTAATAGGTTAATCTCATAAATAAATTAGAGCTTTTACCGATTTGAACTCAAAAATCAAATAAAGTTTTTTAATGATTAAAAATTCAAAAATCAAGCATAAATTATAATAGACTAATCTCAAGAGTTAAAAAGAGATTTTATAAATTAATATTAAGAACCAAATAGAAATTTAACAAGTTAAGCTCAAGAAAAAAATGATTGAATTGAAATATATTTTATAGGTGCAAAAAAGAAGTTATCATCAAGAGAGAAAAAATAGAATTAAATCAAAAAGTGAAGCAGAAAGTTCTGAGGTCTGGTGCAAAGATCAACATCAAAAGGAAGAAGTTGTGAAAGTTTGCTTGATTGTTTGCTTGATTATTTATTTATTTATTTATTAGTTTAAGATCATTATGTAATTAAGTATGAGTATCTCTCAAGGTACTAAGGAAATATACACACTCACTTAAATAATTTTTAAAAACTTAATCTATTTCAAAACATCTTTTAAAATCATTTCTTGTAGCAACCTAATCGAATAGGACGTACTCTAACCAATTAGATAAGCGAAATATCGCTCTCTAATAGATTATAAAATGTATCTAATTGATTAAAGAGCGATCTCGTCACCTAATCGATTAGGAGCTCTTTTAATCGATTAGGCTCTAAATATGCATAAAATGTTTCCATAATTTCTAGGTCTAATTGATTAATGCCGCAAGCTAATCGATTAGAGAGCGGATATAGCCATAGATAATTTTATTCATTAGTCAATTTTTTCTTCTATGTAAAGGAGCCCTTGTGCCCTCTCCTAAGCACGAAATTATGATTTTATATTCTTCTCCCCTACTCATTATTTTAGTGTTATGAGGGTGAAAGGCTTGTATAAAAAGTTGTTTAATGCTGCTTTTTAAAATCAGATTGTGATGTAATCGTAATTCAATAGCATATTTCCCAAGTAACATTATAGGTCATATAAAGGGTTCAAGTTAAACATGTGTAAAAGTTTGGCGTTAGAAGGCTATGGGCTAATTCTTTTGTAAAAGCTCGAAGTTGTTAGTTGAATTCTCAAGAGAAAACTTTTGAGAACTAGATTAGACCACGTGGTTTAAGGCGCAACATGGATAAGTCCTGGTGTGCTCTTTCTAAGTATTCTCTTTTATATTTGTGTAGCTTATTTTTCATGTGCAATTCTCTACTTTATCTTATTTCTTAAAATTGAACAATCTTAAACTTAATATTTTGCAAAATATTTTAAAAAATTGTATAAAACAATTCCCTCTTCTTGTGTTTAAAGTCACTTGGTCAACAAAATCATGTTGATGAACTCTCTTCCCCATATCAGCAAAGTGTTTTTCATGGTAATTTAACAATAATGACAATATTCCACACTAGTTAAAGAAGACAAACTTACATCCTCATTCACCAAACCGCCAAACCAAACACTTTCCACTGATTACAACAACAAAGGTAACTTCTATGGTCGTTGTAAAAGAATAAAAATCTGCAGCTAATGTCACAAATCACGCCATACAATCAAAGTTTGCTTCAAAAAGCATGGTCACTCCTATACCCACTACTAAAAAAATGCTTGTTACCTCAGATAGGAAATGCATAATACCTAGGCTATAAAAGCGAGGTAATGGAGGGTGACATGATAACTCACAATGTATCACCTCGATGTTATTAAAACCAAGAGGTAAAGTTAAATGCACATGGGTTTGAACCCTAACAACAATACTTTTATTATTTTCAAAACTAGTGATATTTCATCTTGGTTTATCTTGAAAATCGAGAAGTTAGATAATTTCTTATTTTTAATTGTTACATTGTTTACACAAAATATTACCCTGAATATTGCATTGCTTAAAATAAAATTCAAATTAACAAGGTAAAAATAAAATTCCATGAAGATCTAGATCTTAGATTTTTTAATCATTGAGCCTTTATCTCTTCAGATCTTGCATGCATTTGATTCTGGAAAAAAAAGTTAGATAAATAAAATCAATATTCAAATATATGATTCTGTGCTCAAATAAATATTTAAGAAAACAAACCTTAAACTAGAGTAATTTTCTGCTCTTGCAATCCATCTTAGAGAACTTTTCCAAACGTCTTTATATTTCAAGTGCTTCATGTTTCATTTAGGTTAGATTTTTAATATTCAACATGCTTTTATAACAGATGTCCCTTAGGTTTCATGCAGATCATTAATGACAGATTCTTGAGCGTTGATAAATATTAAGTGGACGACAAATATTTGTTTAAGGACGAATAGTAAAAAAAATGTTTAACTATCCCCTCGGCCAAGAAGAAAACTGACGTGGATAAGCTATTTTTTTTAATTATATTATTTATACAGAATATTAAAAATACATTGTAAAATCTGTAGTAGCAACTCATGATAGAAATTGACGTGGTGAATATTTTCTCTCTTTGGGGCTACTTCATATAATTTAGTAATAGGGTAAAATCTGTTTAACGAGTCTTTTAAAACTAAAATATGCTTACTAACCACCTCAGTTTTACTATAAAATTGAGGTTTTATATTAACTATCACCTCGATGATAAAGAAAATCGAGATGACTATTTTTTTTTTGAAAATACATTGTTTGCATAGAATATTAAAAAAATATTGTTTAAAAAAAAATATTGGGTGATATCCAAATTTTGTTTCATACCCACCAAAACAAATTTTTTTAAAACAAGAATGATTTTCTGCACTTGCAATCTATCAAATGATTCTCTTAAAAGGTTGAGCTAGTTCCATTCTTTGTTGTTTGAGCTTCATTTTTTGTTTAACATGAAGTAAGAATGATTTTCTAAACTTGCAATCTATCAACTAAGCTCTTTTCAAAGGCTGAACTCACTTCATTGTGGGTTAATCTCCTTTCTTTGGGTAACTTGAAGTAAGAAAGATTTTCAGCACTTGCAATCTATCAACTGAGTACCCTTCTTTAATTAAGGATTATTTAAAAAAAAAAAATACAATAACACAACATCAACACTATTATGTGAGGTAGATTGCAAGGGCAGAAAAAAAAATGTTTTGTTCAAGATAGAAGAACATTGAAATTTTTTTCTATCTTGCAATCCATCCCAAAGAATGATGCTTGCGAGTTTGAGGCAGCCTCATATAAGTAAGGATTAGGGTAAAATCTGTTTAAAGAGTGCTTTTATAGTAAAACCTTATTATTTTATACATCACTTAAATAGAAAATAGAACGGTTATAACTTTTTTTTTTACACTTATAAACGAATAAAATCATAAACTGTGATAGCTGAGAATTGAAGCTTGTATATAGTAGTTTTTTCACCTCGATTATTCTAAAAACTGAGGGAATTTATGTTTTTTTTTAATAATAAAAAATAGCGTACCTTGACTTCATACCTCAACTTTCTATTGTTCGAGGTAAAAGTCTCGTCATGAAAAACATTATTTGTTGTAGTGACCTTAAGAAAACAAATATTGATCCATCCTTCAACAATGATGACAAAATAGAAGAACATCCACAAGTCAATATTAAGGATACATTTTCTGACCCCATGTATCATTATTTTTATACACTAAGAAGTCATTTGATGAACAAATGGTATCAAAGTTTAACTCTTATTTTAAGACTAATTGTCTCAGTAGGTACGATGACTTCAAACAACATTAAAAAAATCTCCATCCTTTTATGGAGAGGTATATGCTTATTAGAAAGAAAATATGAAACTATATATTGAGGGATGAACTGTGATATTTGGGATTCTGTTAAAAATAGTTTGTTTGTTCTCACTCATCAAATTAATGATGTAGTGAATCTCAAGCAGAGAAATCTATGAACCAGAAAGGATAAAGAAAAAATGTAGAAAAAATTGAAAGTTAAAACTATCATCGTTATTGATTTAGGCATGGACGAGTTTTTTTTTTGTGTTTCACATTATAATTATTCAAAAAAAAAAGTGAAAGGCCCTTCAAGTTATCCATGAAGGTACAACCGATGTAAAAAGACTAGAATGAACATGTCGACCCATGAGTACGAACTTTTTAGAATGAAGCTTGAAGAAAATATTCATGACATGAGAAAAAAATGTTTATTCATATTGTTAATCATTTAAGAACTATAGGTAAAAAAATGAGGATCTAATTAAAAAAAGTTCTTAGATGCTTAAACTGCATCTGAAAACCTAAAGTCACTGCAATTT